TAGCAGAAAATGGAATAATGGTTTGGTCATTACCTCTCATCTACGCTCGAGGATGCAGCCTGCGTAACAACCTTCGAACCATCTATAAACAATCACAAATCAAAGCCAAACTAGTTAGCAAAAGAAAAAATTGTCACCACCATATCTTTTCTATCATATGAAAACAATTTTGACCAAGGCCAAACTAGAGCCAAAAGTAAATTAGAAGACAAAATGTGGAGAGAAGCCATAAAATTCATAGATTTCTGGATAGCACCAGGGGTGAATTTCCTTCATACAACTTCTAATACCACCTCATTGACAAAATCATTGAAAATCCAAGTAGCGCATGCAGCTAAAGCGTATCTAAACTCCAGAAATGAAAAGTTCATACAACGTTCGTAAAAATGGACCTCACTTCCCTTTAATTTAACGTAGAACTAAGCAGACCGTTCTAAAATCATGTAACCAATCCCTGTCCAGAACTTTCTGTACAATAAATCACAGATTTGATTGGAGCCTAAACGAATTTACGTCTTCCAAAAAGGTTATATTACTCGAACGAACGAATAAGAAGTTAAACTATTCTGATAGATAGCATCTTTGTTCACAGGTCAACATTCAAATATCAGTTACAAACTAAAAACCAGAAGTTGATCTAAGGCCTAAGTGTCCGCGAAACATTGACAACAACTAAAAAAATTCCATAGCCTTAGTTCGCATTATCCTATCACACCATACTAAAGTTCACTAACAAACCAAACACTGGGTATAACCTCAAAAATCTCAGCTTGTGCGACCACATTTAAGTCAAAATACATCTAGCAGATACACACGTAGCTATGATCGTGTTCCAAAGGTTGAAATCTCCCAGGACCAAAAGCAACGATCGAATGATTCGAGCAAAAATGGGAGAAATTGAGATCTAACCTTGATAAGCTTGAATAGCTTTCTGGAGATCAGGATACTTCTTTCCTCCGGACTCCTTAAGCATCGTATCAAATGCTCGAGTCAAAAATCCACCAGCCGCCATCTTTAATCCTTCTTATTCGTCTTCCACTTCTTCGTCTTCCTCTGCTTCAACAGCAAATTTTCTGCACAATACAGCAAGATCGAACGAATTACACAATCGGATCGTTGGAGATACGACGGAATCGAGAGAGAAAGGAGAAATTGCCTTAGCTCTCTGGTTTTTGATTATACCCTTGACCCCCAAGAAGCTCGATCGAAGAGAGATCTGAAGCAACGAAACGAGCCACTAGCTAGATCTAATTTCCCATTTCAAAAACAAAATAAAAAAATTATTACTAACTATTTCAATAATCGCGGTTAAGAAAAGAAAATAATAATGGAGCGATCCGAGTCAATTGAAACCGAGATTATTTTCTAAACTGAATTGAACCGGGATCTTAAGTTTAATCTGCTATGGGTTTTTTATATGTGAGAGTTTTCTTTGATTTGTTTAATATGTACTAGATAAATTACCCGCACTATGTGCGGGATGAAATGACAATTAAAGAAGTGCATTGTAGTTTTAGTTACAAAAATTATTATATTATTATCCGGAATCTAAAATCTGTTAGTGTATTATGAAACATGTTAAAAAAAACGTTTTATATTTCAATCATCGATTTTTCGTATCGGAATTCGTTTTACCCGTAAAATAATTAAAGAAGACAATTTATTTTCTAACGTAACTTAAATAACAAACACATATACATCTTTGTAAAAAAGTTGATGAACATTTAAAAAATTTAGATTGCTCGAAAACTAAGAAGATGTATGTTTGGTAAATTTGAGAGGATGAAGATGATATCAGGGAATATATTTATAGAGAAATATTTTTGTAGGGTTCCGTTTAATTTTTGAAATTTGGATTGCCTTCAAAATTTGAAAAATTAATTTATTGTTGATTTTATGATAGATTTAGTTTTGAGAATTAATTTTATAAATGTAGTTTGGATTTATGAACCTAGAAAAATTTGTACTTACAAAAGTTATAAAAATATATTCTAATATATTAATTTACATGAATTATACGCTTACATGTTTGAGTTGTTAAATATATCTATATATATATATATATATGTTAGTCTGGATTTAAAAATAATTAGAATATCATGGCACATTTGTAACTAATCTAGTAATATATAGACCATTAGTTTGCTCGATTTATGAAATAAAAAATGTCTGTTTGATTTTAAATTTAAAATGTCTTATTGGACGTAGCATGTCTTACATTTTAATATTAGATAATACAGATTTGTTATTTGTTATGCATATATAGAAAAAATGTAACATTTGTTATGTGTTGTAATGTGTTTGCTAATATAGAAATAATAAAGTTTGTCTCGTATATATTGTGTGTTTTTTTTAATTTTTAATTAGAAATTTGTTTTTGATTAGTGGGATATATGGATGTATGAGACGAATGGCAAATTCTGTAAATAGTCTAATAAATCTTGGGTAATTATCTAAATAGAAGCCAAATCATTGTGAGAGCGACACATCAGCGTGACAATCTTGTTAATAACACATGATGGTAAGGTTTTTTTAAAAAAATGTTTCTCTATTAATATATAGGGGATTATATATGTTTAAAATATAGATGGTGTACAAACTATTATTAGTTTATTAGTATAAATTAATCTAAATAAATATTTCTATTATTAATAAGAGATTGTTAAGTTTTCTTTACTTCCAATAAGTAGATTAGGTTATGTTATTTATATATTACGGATTCATGCATCTTACGATTATTAAAATTATTTTCATGTATTATCATTTTATATTATGTTTTATGTAAGATCAAAAAAATTATATTTTGTTTTCCATTAAATATAGCAGAATGTATTGTTTGTAAAATTTAAATACAACTTAATTATAATTGTTATAAAAAGTAATTAGGCTTATATTGGTCAATTTAATAAGCCAAAGATTACAGAATCTGAAACTTCGCTAAAGGTGATAATGTTGGATACAAATTCAAAAAGATTGATGTTTGTTTTACATTTTGTTTCTTAAATAATGTAAAGGTTACCAAAACCACCGGTCAAAAACCGATAAGAAATAAGTTATATGAATCATAATTTCAAAAGAATCTTGCATGGGTTTAGATCACTTAGTTTCTAGACATACAAATAAGAAACACATACTAACAAAAGAAATGGAAAATGAGATTGAACACCAAACAGTCTCACTTTCCTAGTTCCACCACGAGAAGTCACATGTTCCATCAAATATGTTCACCTCAACCTAAGTGTTACTCATCTTGACTGTTTTCTTGTAATCTTTGATTTGAAGCTCCTATAAAACCGTTGGTGATAAACCCATAATTTTTGACCGGGTCATAACAAAATAGAAATGAAAAAATTTAACCAAAAATATCAAACTAGGAATCAAACTCGGGTAAAGAAGGTCATTTGACACAAAATTGCCAAATCGGCGGTTGTTTCTTTATCCATTTTTACAAGAGGGTCATTTGACACAAAATTGCCAAATCGGCTATTGTTTCTTTATGCATTCTTACAAGAAAAAGCTTATATCATTATTTTACCAAGTGAGTTGACTTCCCTCTCTTCTTAGTGGGTCCGTCCTTAAAAAAAGTACACCAAACCTCGAGGCTGGAGCTCTGATACCACTTGTGGAGTTAAATGTAAGTATGCTTGCTTGCAAAATAAACAACACAATTTTGATAACCGATTACAAGGCCTCTAACTTCTACGTCTCGAGGAAGACCTCTTGAAACACCACTAACTAGTGATTTTGTTTTGGTTTTACAGATTCTGCACAAGAAGAACAAGAATCAAAAGATACAATAAGTAGGAAGAAGAAGAAAGCTTGAAGTTTCTCTCTTCCGAGAAGTCTCCTTTATGAGTCTTGTTTCACCTGCTATCATTTTTTCTTATCTTTTGTAGATATGTAGAAATGTAGCATATAGGCCAATGCACTTTGTTTTACTTTTCTATGTCATTTTCGCCAGGACGATAAAAGCCCATTATGTCAAACCTAATCAACAAGAGAAGAGCAGTTACTTCGTTGTAAGTAGGCCTGGGCAAAAAACCCGGACCCGATACCCGAACCGATACCCGGACCGAAAAAATCGGGTTGGAGCGGGTTAGGGTATTAGAAAATTACCTCATTGGGTAGAGTATTGGATTACCCGTGGGTATCGGGTCGGGTCGGGGATTACCCGTTACCCATTTAGGGTACCCACAAACCCGAAGAAATACATGTATATAGATAATTAGATATATAGTCTTATATAGTTATATACTTATATGTATGTCCTAGGTTTTAGGTTTTGTGACTTTTGACGTTTGAGTTTATATATGTATATAGATAATTAGATATATAGTCTTATATAGTTATATACTTATATATATACTTATATATATGCAATACACATATGTTTATATATGTATATAGATAATTAGAATCTATTCTTAACACTTAAGAGTGAAATAGTCATCTTTGTTATTTTGGATTGGATTTTGTATTTAAATGTCATGTTTGATGTTCTATTCTCTTTATTTGATCATTTGAGTATGTAAAGTGATTTTAAACTTTGGGTATTACCCAAACCGACCCGAACCCGACAATACCCGAACCGGACCGGAACCGAAACCATAGGAATACCCGAATGGACCATAAATTCATTACCCATTCAACCCGAACCCGAACGGGTTTTACCCGAACCCGAACGGGTTACCCATATGCCCATGCCTAGTTGTAAGCTTGGTTTGGTCGAAGAAAGATGTGGCCGAAACTCTATTGGCCAGCGACACTAGGGTTTCGTGTGAAGGAGAAAGAAAAAAATGAAAAAAAATCACGTTAAATAGTTATGTAACACTCGTTAACGAGCTTATTAAGTCGTGAGTTCAAATTTATTAACAATCAAAAATGAAATATTTTTAAACCAAATATATTTATCTCAAGTTTTCAAAAAAAAACATGGGTATTAAAAGGTTAAATAAAAAAATGATGGGTTATTCGGGAATTTTCCATAAAAAATGTGAAAGAAAAATAATCAACTTTAGACACATATCTGAAAAAGAGAATTAATACACACTGGAATGTAACATTTGTATATACAATCAAATCAAATTGGTTCGTTTTCGTATAATTGAGATCAATCATTCTTATATTTCCTATTCTACTCCTCCAACATACAATTCTCATCAGAAAAAATAAAATCAAATTTTTTTATAGTAAAAAGAAAAAAGTTCAGGGAAGAAGATCGTCGCCGAAGAGGTAAAGAAGTCGTTCAACGGCCCAGCTAGGTTGATTAACGGTGGAGCAATCAGAGAACGACGGAAGCAACGGTGTTCGACATAGCGGACAAGTACGGTGGTTATCCTCATCGCCACCGCGACATTCATATTCTAGCCACCGGTCAATACAATCACGATGAAAAACATGGTTACAATTCCTAAGCTCTCTGATTTCGTCGTCGTCTTCAAGATCTCCTAGACACACGGCGCACGTGTCGTTTATTGTCGCGGGAGATCTCTCCACCGCGTCGCGGAACGCCGTTACAGCGAGGCTTTCTTTGATTGTTTGTGATGAAATCAAAGGAGTAGAGGAGGATTGAGATGATGATGATGATGATGATCTGGAGCGGTAACGGAGGCTCCAGGCGAAAATCCATCGTAAAACGGCGATGATAACCGCCGTTTTGTAGAGAACGTGGCTGATGATGACACTAGTGTCTTCGATGAAGAAAGTCATTGTGAAAACTTGGAGCAAGAGAGAGAGAGAGTGAGAAGAGGAAGAGGGAGGAAGAGAGGTTAGAATCATGTGTCTTTATAAAGGAAAATTAAAGGTGGTGAGGGTTCGGTTTTTCATTAGTGAGTGGCTTCTTTTTCAAAACAATGTTTTTTTTTAACTTTTTTTTTTAATCATTTTTTGCAAAAGAATTATATCATTTTTTACAATTGTTTTTTTCATTACAAACTTTCGGTGTCAAATTTTCTGTTATGCTTATCTGTATCCACATATTTTAATCTATAGAATAAAGACTCTGCAAGTCTGCATAGAGAATTTGTTTTTATATTCAGCTGTAAATGTTGGAAAACTGAATCAGTCAAATTTAATTTGCTTTTTATCCATAAAATAAATAGTATAGTTAGAAAATTCAAAGCGTGCAAACTGTTAATTAGTTGAAATTGAGTAAAAGGAGAATGTTAAAGTTTGGATAAGGTTCTGTTATTCAATGTAATGAAACTTTGTTACGTACATAGTCTCTTTTATATTGAGAGGATCTCGGTTTCTATACATTGTACTGATTTTATATAACTAGGCTGTTTCTATCGTACTCTATTTACATTCATATATATCAAATGTAAAGTCGAAAAATGACCTTATCCGACCGAAAAGAGTTACTAGTTGGATTTCGGTTTCTTTCGAAATTCTGTTTGGTTACTTATTAAATTTATTTCGGGTTTAGTTCGGTTTAAAACCGTAATATTCTATTTTTTTGGGGATTTTAAAACCGAATTGGATATGGTTATAAAACCGGTAACCGTAAAACCAAAACTAAACTGTAACCAAACCGATAAACAAAAAAAAAAAAAAAAATCACACCATAAACCGGAATGCCCTTCCCTACATAATTGTATATATGAAGTGGAATATAAAGCCTTGAACACATTTATAAAGTTAAATGTTACCCATAGGATTAATCAAAAAGAGTTTAGGGTGAAGAGATAAGAATCTAAAAATATCTAGGTGAAGACAATTGTGAGCAACTAGAGAGAATGGACTAGAGTGAAATATATGAAAAAAGAACAGGAGAAGGTGACGTTGGGTTAGTGGCGTTCGTGTCACAGTCTGTGCTAGTCTGGCTTGCAATATTTGCTTGCATGAGAGATTGAGAGAGACGGTGAGGAATAAAAGACGATCATGATCGTTTCTTTTTCTCTTCCTTTTACCAAACCACCCAAAAAGAGAAACATATATAAAAAGAAAATACATTTTGACGTAACATATTTTAGTATCATTATCGTTGGTTATCTTTGAGGAGCAATTGGTCACATAAGCCTTTAAATATGTTAGTCCATTTGTGGCTTATTGCCTTAACGATTACGCCTTGTTTTGTTTACATATATATTAATGTACTTTTGATGTTCTCTGTAAGGGATTAGCTTTTTTTTTTTTTTTTTTTTTTTTTTTTTTTTTTTTTTGTAAGGGATTAGCTTTTATGTAAGAAATATACTTTATAGTCTTTTATTATCACAATCTCGGGAAAACGGCCTATTTCCACACGAGAAGTATCGCATCACAACAGATAGAGCTCATACTTTGATCCCGGTCTAGCTATCCATGAAATGGAAGTTCTATTCCTATTTCTCTCCGAATTGCAAATCTTTAATCTAATTGTCCACATACCTTGATTTGATCGGTTTGCAAACTGAACCGATAGAAAACCACCTACACCTGATACTAAACCGAAACTAAATCCGACCCGACTTAAAACCAGACCCAATTCGCACAATTTCTTTTTTTTTTTGGCTTCAGCTTTCTTCTTCACATTGGCCAAATACTTGAAAATATCTACCTATTATCTTCTTCACATTTCATCATCACATAGCTTCTCCCCGAGATTTGTCATCACATGTCGAAGCTCTGGTGCAGATATGAAACCATTATGGACGTCTTTATCAAACACCCTAAAAACACTCTTCTTCTTAATCACTCATCTTCTTCTTCTTCAAATTTCAAATTTCAAATACTTGACATTTGATCTCCGTCTCTTCTCTCATCATCATTGCTTGAACACATCCTTCAAAACCTGAAACCAACCAAATCTTTAATAAACAACAACAAATCCCCAAAATCTAACACCTCTCATAAAATTCTCAATCCATCTAGTTCTCAAACTCTATTTCCTAAAATTTCAATCCGAAATTTGTATCTGATATTTGTAATTCACAACCACGATAATTGGGGAAACGGGTTAAAAATTATCACAAGGCCTCGCGAATCGATCAAGACAACCCGACATGAGGAATCAAAGATGAATCTCCATTGTGAGAATTTGATCTTCTCAACTTTGACCTGAACACTCAAGCAAATCCCCATGATTGATTAGTTTCATAGAGAGACCCAAATTAATTAGTACGACTTCAATCAGATGTTTGTGGAAGGAGATCGTTTTTCATGGCGATTCTAGCAATCATTCATCTCGGCGTCATGTACGTTGGTCCCGTTTTGAAGCAGAGATTTTCATTTAAATGTGTGAATCAATCACACTAAATCCGATTACATCTGCAAATTCTCTACAAAATCAAAGTCTGAATCTTTTTTTTTTTTCAAAGTCTGAATCTAAAATTCATTCACAAATGACAAATCAATTGATCCGTAGCAAGAAAAAAATTGGGTGAAGAAGAAGTTGGGTCGGGGTTGGAATTGGGTCTGGGTCAGTTGTTATCTGGTATAAATCCGGTTTAGTATCATATGTAGGTGGTTAACGTTTGTTTGATATATAGTAAACCCACCAAAACCAAAGACTATGGGTTTTTAGATCTCGAATTATTTAATCGGGGACATTTAGCTATGGAACTTTCAATTCGGGGAGAAATAGGAATAGAATTTCCATTTCATGGATATATAGACCGGGATCAAAGTATGGGCTCTATCTGTTGTGATGCGATACTTCTCGTGGGGAAATAGGCCGTTTTCCCCACAATCTCACATTCTTGGAAAAACGGTCTATTTCCCCACGAGAACTATGCTTATCACGCCAGATAGAACCCATTCTTTGACCTCGGTGTATATGTCCATGAAACGAAAGTTAAATACTTATTTCCCCCCGAAATAGAAGTTCAATAGATTAATCTCCCCGAATCTGAAAGTTCGAGATCTATAATCCCATAAAACTGGGTTTAATCGGTTTACTGTATATCTTACCAATTGATAAACCAACTAAATCTAATTATAACCAGACTTAACCGTAATTCACCCGTTTACAACCCGACTTCAGTCTAATAACCCCCAAATCGAAAATAAATTGGTTTGACTCTCACTCTCCTAAACCTAAGATTCGTTCAGGATTCATGGGTTTCGAATGTTGAAGATAAAGGAGACGACTTAATCTAAATTTTTGAAATGGATTTGGAATCTTTAAAGATGGTTTTGGTGAGTAGGATTGTAAAGTCAACCCACCTCGTCTTCTCCACGCATCAAAATTAAGTGTGAGGATTATTGTATTTTTTGGATTCAGTTATCGATTTTGGTAACTTTTACGATTGATTTGGGTTTTGCATTAGAGCTTGAAAAATCCAGAAATCTAAGAGAAGATACAGATTATTTCAATTATTTAATTTTGTAGATCAAAAGCATAATTGGAGAAGAAGAGAGGAAGAAGATTTCAATTTCAATTTCAAAAACTTCACCTTCACCAAGTTCTTGACTTTTGAGTGGTTTGCTTGTGTTTTTCAACTGAATGCCCATGTGAATCTTCGATTGAGTATCGACTGATATCAATAACGGAGTCGCTCCGTCTTAGTTGACGAAAATGGGTTTGGTCGAGAAATTTTGAGATTGACGAGGTGTCATTGTCGTTCGTGTGATGGAAATTAGGATTTTTAGAGATCTAAAAGTTTTCATTTCTGCAACAATGGCGAAGTAGCGATCTCGTACAAGTTCATATTTGAAAGATTTCAATTTCAATGGGACAGTCAATTTCAATGTAGCGGAGATTGGGAGAGATTTGTGGGTCGGGTCAATTACATACATGAAATAACGAGTGAAGTAGAAGATATTGGGTCGGGTCAAGCTTTAATTCGGTTAGATAGTGAGTTTAGTGGTTTCGTTTCCGGTTTAGGACCTAAACCGATTAAACCCAAAATTTACGGGGAAATAGATGAAAACTATAGATTCAGAGAGATATAGGTTGCGAAATATTTTTTCGGGGATATCTAGCACGTGGTCATAAATTGGGCTCTATCTGGCGTGATAAGCATACTTTTCATGGGGAAATAGACCGTTTTCCCCACATTCTCACGTGGTCTTCTTACGATTTTTCATTACTTATATCTATTATATTTTTAACAAAAAAGCAGAATGATTAAACAATACAAATTTAAAATCGAAATATTTTGTGGTATTTCACGCATAAATTCATTGTTAAGAAAGTATTAAGATATGCTTGATATATGGCATTATATATATATATATGTATATATTGAGTCGAGATGATATTAATGTTTATCAAATACTTTAGGCTTACGTCGCATCTTTCCATTATTATTAAAATAATCTTACGTAGCATCTTCGTTGAGATTTAAATAATTAATAAGACTCCTAACGTAGAGCAATTAATAGCTAATTAAAAAAAAATCAAAATCAATTGTGGTGATAGACATTGATATATATCAACCCATTTATAACACAGTGGTTTTGCTTTTTCGGTTTTACTTTAGAAATTTACGTAAGCCTCACTATTTTTTTAATGGTAAGACTGCAATGATGTATGCAATGAAGAAGTATTAGTAGGATATAAAAAGTAGTATTAGAGAAGGATTTATCTTTTATAATGGATATAAAAAGAAGAATTAGAGAACGATTTAACTTTATAATGATAGTCCTTAATTATGTTTAAGGAAAAAAAATAAGAAACGGGACAAATCCTTTCCACATGCACATGACACATGATGTCGTCTACTAACAAAAATGATGTTTAACTTATAAAAGACAAGGTGGTCCCAATCTGACACATCAATTTCCTAACTATCCTACTCAGATTCCATTACTTCAACTTCCAAATGTCATACCATAATTTTTTTTTATTGTAAATCTAATATATATGAAAAAGGCATATTTGCAAATGTCCAAAATCTTCCATCATTTTGTAACATTGACTTTAGTAGCCTCTTTCATTCCATTGTGATATGTAACCGGTTGAAGCTTTGTCTATGTGACATGCATATATGCATGTCCACAGTCCACCACAAGTCCACAGCCAGTTATTTTATA